TAGAACTATAGCATAATACGCACTTCTATAAACTAGTACGATTCGCCGAAAATATTCGTAGGGATAGTAAAAAAATATACACATAAGGGTGGCTAAGGCAATATTGAATGAGAAGCCAAAAGGACCGAAGTCCATAGTTCGGGAAGGGGAAAAGATAGACGTACGTCGTGGCTGAGCAGTTCTGGCCGTCTTTTCGACACATATAGTTGAAGCCTCTTGCATTGCCGCTATAGCCTCCTGTCTAGCTAGCTCGGCAGCTATGGCAGCCTCTTCTTCTTCTAGTGAAGGAAGTCCCTTTATTTTGCGTTCTACATTCTCTTTGTATCTAACAGGAGAATTGAGAAACATCATAAGATTAGGTATAGAAAAAAATGATGTTGATTAAAAGGGAAAAAGAATATAGAAGCACATGAATCAATAGACTATATGGGATAGTTGTGCATTCCAACGCGATGGGGAAGCTATATCGCACAAAGCGCACAGTTGACCGTAAAATATTTCTATAGTTTGCATTAAATATTTGAGCGAAAATAGATTAACTAATGTAGCTAGAATGTTTTAGTGCGTCTTGCAGCATTATGAATAGCAAAAAAGTTATGCCTTCCGAAAGTAAAAAGGATAGGTTGTAATCACCTTTCTATGTCGTCATCAGTTACTCGATCGAAGGGATTTGGAGAGTACACAGCCTGGTATACATTTGGATCGTACTGGTGCCCACGAGAAATGATTCCTCGGCTGGCGGCGCCAACCACCACCACATGGCCTGGTTCGACCTATAAAAAACGATTAAAAATGTATCAGTCCTGCGGTCAGTGAAACAGCTGATTCGGGTTTGTATATTCTAGATGTTAAAGGCGACAATTAGGAAAAATAGCTGCCAATCTATTTGTTAATTGGCAGTGATTGATAAAAAATAAACGATAATGTCCAAATTAAAGAAAAAAACAATGTGTAAAAAATTTCCTTGTAGAGCATAAATAAAAACTCCGATTTCGAAATAAAGCGAAGTTTCATGCAGAAGTTAGCTTCACTGATTCTATTGATTTTCCTTAATTATTAAGACTCCATTAAAATGTGTATAAAGCTAATAGTCGACTTATCTTAACAAAAAAGCGACAATCTGCAATGGGCGCAATTGAGAACGTCGGCCATGTGGCAGATATCGTCGGCTCTGATGCCAAGTTTTCGACCATCAATTGAAAAGCAATTCCGGAGCATGAAATATTGCTTTATACTTAGAAAAATGTTAAGGTATCGCCACCGCCTATTATAAGTATGGAAGGCTTGTGTATGTATGAGCATACGAAGCCTAGTATCAAATTGCGCCATGTATGCCGATGAAAGTAAAAAATAAAGATGAAATTTCAATTATTAGTCTTTAGATCTAACAAACACTGAATTAGGTCAATAAGCTAGGATTTGGCAAGTCAAAAGAACATTCTCTAAAACATTCAAAAGTGAAAGGACGCAAGTGTGCATTTTTTTGAAACTAGTAACAATTGAGTCAATACAAATTATTGATATGATAAAAAACCTTGAGAAATTAGTCGCGTTCTGGCTGAAAACATGATATGTAAATCGGCTCATTGGGAATCTACGCCATATGCCCTCAGCATTCATATTCGAAAGTTAACAGCTAAATTAACGAGGATCGGAACAAAATAGCGACATAGTGGCCATCGCTAAAAACCCAACATTAATTGCATCTCAATAATGTTAGATATAAGCATTGAATAGGACAAAAATCTTCATGAAATTGAATAACTTCGGAACAAGAAAACGACAATTGATATGCTTAATCTCAATTAGGCCAATTGAATATATGAAGACCAAGATGGTGTGGCCTCTGGTATGGCCGCAGTCTCATTTCGATTTATATAAGTGTATTGACCTCGTTGTCGCAACTTGGTCTTGTTGTCAGGGCGACTTCGTAGAACCTACCTAGTCCAAGGTAGTCTGCCTTAATAGTTGCCCCAGCATCAGACAGTGGACTTGGTACATTCTTAAACGTTTCGCCGGCATCATCAGTGAGTCTTACCATTCTCCGCACCAAGCTACGAACTCGTCAGAGACAAGTGAAGTCAATACCTCGATAAACGTTCTACCGAAAACGGTTACACTATCACTCCTCTTTCTGTCCTGGCATATCAAGTGATGAGGCCACACTAGATTTGCCACATTTTGACGAGTGGAATGTAAACAAGTGAGAAGTTGTAGTAGGGAGGCAGTGGGATAAGAGGGTAAAAAGTAGAGATAGGCCAGGACATAAAGAGGAGTGATAGTGTAACCGTTTTCGGAAGAATGTTGGGCGAGGGATTAACTTCACTTGTCTCTGACGAGTCCGTAGCTTGGTGCGGAGAATGGCAAAACTCACTGACGATGCCGGCGAAACGTTTGAGAATGTAACAAGTCGAGTGTCTAATGCTGGGAATCATGACAACTACTATGGCAGACGACTTCTGACTAGGTGCGTTCTACTAAGTCGCCCTGACAGCAAGACCAAGTTGCGACAAGGTCAGCCCACTTCTTTAAATTGTAGTAGACTTTCATTTCATGTAAAAGTGTGTGAGGAAAGGCTTAGTTAATTTACCTGAATGGAAGACAAAGGCCGATTCGTATTGTTCTGCAGCTAGTTGGCTTTAATACGCCGTTTCGATTAGCGCAATTCATGAGAAAATCATTCTCGTTTCGAGTAAAACCGGGCTGAGTTTTCGACCATCATATGAGAAGTGGTTTCGTAATCCGACTTAAGCGCACACAAGCCTACATCTATTTTTGCTTACAGACTCACGCAATCTTGGACGTCTTTCCTTGGGTCAGTAAGCCATGATGGCCCGAGTCTGATGTTAAGCTTTTGTAATTACTCTGATTTAGAACCGGAATTTCCTACAGACGTTGACACACGCAAGCACATTCAAGCAAGTGTTGTGATTAATATGAAAGATAACCAGTCGAATCATTCTATATTTATCTACTTTAATTTATGATGTAGAATAGAGCCGGATAATCATCTTGGTAGTGCTAATTTAAGAATTTTCAAAGGTGAGTTGCATGATGTCTGTTTCCGCTCTGCCTTATTTCATTCAAAACAAAGGAAAATGTATCGTGAACTGCGTCAACTTGAAAGTTGTATTAAAGCCTAGCAGCTGAAAAACAACGAGAATCGTTTTCCAGTGAGATTAGCCAACGAATGTCTTCATCATATACTTTCATACAAAATCAGTCGATTAAAAGCTTATCTCAAGAGATTAATCGAAACCCAGCTACCCTTTGTACCTATTTTGTTTATATTCGGTTTCGCCACCAACCAAAAAGATACAGTGTCTGGCAATGGAAACGTCCATGAACAAATATTTCGACTTCCCATAGGATCGCCACTCACCACTTTTGGCAAACGTATACATGAACAAAATATAAGGGAACTTCAAGATGGCACTGCTACAACCGACAGTGCTCATGCGGTACCTGGATGATTATTTCGCACTTTGGTCACATGGAAGATAAAAAATGGAAGAGTTTCTGAAGCTTGTAAACCAGATTGATGAAAAAACTCAAATCACGAAAGGTGAGTGGTTGTCGTTCCTGGATGTTGAAGTGATTCGCTTTGATAAGACGCTCAAAAAGAAATTGTTCGGAAAGAAGTTCTATGCTAAGATAATACTCAATTTCCGGTCTCATCACAACTACAGGAGTAATGAGGAGCATGATCATCCGAAGCCTACGCATAGCGGATGTAGAATTCTGGGACGAGGAGTGATACAAATGAACATACGGACCGCGAAAATCCGATGGCAGAGCGGGGACTATGAAAGAACGGTAAGGATGATGAAGGATTCACAAAGGTGGATATGCCTACCTTCCTGCGAACCAATTCAAAAACTACGGCCAATATTGAGTAAATGGAATATTCTGGTGGCAATCAACACATTTCACAAGTTTGCCGACACAAAATGAAAGGGTAGACAAATTGGATTGTTCATGAGTTTATGGATATCATATGGCGCCTGCGAACAGAAATATATTGGCGAAACAGAGAAAAATTAGCACACGAATCAAGGAACATCAGAGGCTCTGGGGGAAAATGGATACCGAAAGATCAGAACTAGCGGAACACATCGCACAGACTGGACACGAGATAAATTGGAAGGCAATAGAAAGAAGGGGCCCATACGGTGACACATCAAGGAAGCGGATGAATAGGGATGCCATCGACATCCTTGGGGAGAAAAATCTAATGAACAAGAGACTGGAGGAAGGTAGAGTTACCATTACATTTTCCTACTGCCTAAGGAAATTCGGGGAAATCAAGAATAGAGCAAAACCAGCAAAAAGGAGACGCACGGATCAAGGATATATTGCTAACCGGAGGAAAAAAGATCGCGATGAGGAAAGTTGGGGGCGGGGAGTTTCAGCAATCAAGAGACGTTATCAGTGAGTGATGGCCGCTTCGAATAAGCCAGTACAACTTTGGGGGCCTGGCAATCATGGAGCTTGGAAGACGGATAAGCAAACATAAATTCGGCGTTATGGCTGAAATGCACAAAAAATCCACTTAAGATGCCGCATGCGACTACAGTTTGCTCAGATAAAATGAGTTTAATCAAGAAGAGGACCCGTGAAGTATGGTAATCACAGCCTAGGCGCTCTACTCGTTGAGGTAGCAGTGTACGTGTTTCTAGAGCCTTGAGAAATAGCGCCTGGAGTGAAATGCATACTGGGACTGGGACCGAGTGAAATCGGAAAACCAAAAAGATAAGGTACGGATCTACGGGACCATGAGGGGATCCGAATTGTAGGCCCTAGTCGGATTAGCAGATCGAAAAAGAGGGGTTCGGGGTGAATAGCAAGCGTGATGAGGCCACACTAGATTTGCCACAAAAGTGCACACATTTTGACGAGTGGAATGCAAACAAGTCAGAAGTTTTGATAGGACGGGAGCTGGATAAGAGGGTAAAGATTAGATAGATAGGCCAGGACAGAAAGAGTAGTGATAGTGTAGCAGTTTTAAGCAGAACGTTCGCCGAGGGATTAACTTAACTTGTCACTGACAAGTTTGTAGCTTGGTGCGGAGAATGGCAAAACTCACTGATTATGCCGACTACGATGCCAGCGAAATCTTTGAGAATGTCTGATGCTGAGACTTATGACAATTACTATGGCAGATGACTTCGGAATAGGTGCGTTTTACTAAGTCACCCTGACAACAAGACCAAGTTGCGACGAGGTCAATCCACTTCCAAAAAGATACAATTCAAACAATCATATTCTTCGTAGCATCACTTTTTTGCCATTTGTTCAGGTAAATCGTGCTAAATATGTGTAATTTAATTAATAAAGAAAACTAAATAAAATTAAGAAAATTGATGTCACAATGTTTTTAACAGGACATTTTTCAAAGGGTGACAATTCTTAAATATAGCAGCTATTTTGAAGGCAAGCAATCACTTCTCAAACAAAAGTAGAGTAGTGTTCATTCCAGTTAGTTTAATGTGAAAAAAGACTTGTACTTGAATTTTCCCATAATGATATGAGGAGACATGACTTTTGTCAGTGACTTTCACATAGCTTTACTTTTCCAAAAGTTTTGACCTCGCCTAGGTCTTATCAATATCATCAGCGCGACTCGAACCATGACACACACATAATCTCGACACATTAACCATTACGGTACATTGCTATGAGTGTCCCTGGGTAACAGTGTCAATGCGAATTTTAAGCAAGACCAAGCATTTTCCCAAATCGCATTATATGGTGGGATGTCAATGAAGCAGTTGTATGTGCTATAGCAATTGAACTATAAAGTTCATTAAATTAGCGCTTTGAAGACCACTTTAGATAAATCTCAAATGTAAGGCTGGCAGAATTAGTCAAGGATGATGTAGCACAATGGAAATCCTTTACAAGAAGAAAATCTGGGATTCGAGGAAGCCCTTGGTTTACAATTGTTGAGCTCACTTCCATTCCGAGTGATATGTGTTCGAGGGTCGATCCCACCTCAAGACGACCGCAAATTCTTCTTGGCCTGGTTTAGTGGGATATTCTTGCTGATAGTGTCTTCATGACAATCCTGTTCGATTTCGATTAAGGCGT